GTCTAAAATTGTCACGTAAATTTTCTTCGGATCATTGAGACCCATACAATTAATAGTGACAAACCTGACAGAACATTTGGCCTTTTTTTCGATAGAGTCTTTCATATTATTTTGAATTTCATTGACAAGAGCTGTTTTACCGGTACCGGGTATCCCGTGAATAAAAAGATTTCCAGATTTTTTTTTAATAATATGCTTTTCTAAAAATTCGGTGATCGCGTCTCTTTCCGTGTCGCGGCCTACAAGCTTTGCTGGGGTAGTAGATAAGCGAAAAAGAGACTTTGCTTTCTCATAATCTTTTGCTGACGAGCTTGGTTTGGATGCCTTAAAAAAGCCACCTAAACGAGCACTTTTAGATGTTGTGTAAGTTGGAAGGAGGCTAGTTTTAACATCGGTGGTCTGTTGAGTATCTTCTTCCTTAGTTGACCTTTTGAGTCTTTTTGAAGCTGTTCGCGGATTTTCAAATTTTTTCACGATAGCTACCCCTTTCGAGGTATTCTCGGAATTTTTTAGAGTCGAGCTTCTCAAACTACGTCTAGGAGGCATAATATCGATAAAAGAGTAATTAATCTGACGCGTCTAAAGCTCGTGTACGCTTTATATTCTATCGTCCAAATGTAGAAGTTACACGAGTTACATGCATAATTATTCACATGATTAAAAAAGTTTATAAAAAATTGAATAAATCGAATCAACTTAGGGTGTAAATTTTTATTAGTAAAAAAATAGTTTAACGAGTCAAATAAAACACGTGATGAAAAGTTTAATACTTCGGAAAGAAAAATTTTTTAGTGGAAGTTCATTTAACTGATCAAAGGTATTTATCATTCCAATCAGCAAGAGATAGAGGTCAAATCGTCCTTTTATTATCATAGGTTGCGCTTATTGGTCGAAATTTTCATTAATTGATTAGAAAAAATAATTGTTCAAGTACTTCACTCCTTTTACATTATCATTATCGTTATGGATCTTCAAAATCGTTACCAACGTCGACGAATTATTACCTTATTATGTTAAAAAATTTTCGCCGTATATAAAAAGTCACGTTTTGTATTCTGTTGGTTTGTAGTAAATTCCGAAAAAGAAGAGACAGAATTTGGAAGTGTCGTAGATAGCTCATTAATCCATCGTTTCCATTAGTTTTATTTTTTTTTTATTTCTATCTGTAAAAACAATAATCACTAAATGGTAATAATAATAAAGATGCTTGCTCAAGTATCAATTGCAAACAATATTTTAGTTAATCGTAGTACTTGAACACCAACACGATCATAAATTAATTACATTGAAAAAGATATGAAAGCATATTTTAATTATCATCCATGGTCCTCAAAAATGGTCTAATTAATAATGCCATAATGGTTGTGCACTATCTAAATCACTAGCCAATCACATCAAGCGTGCTGCTTGAGAACACCTTGTTGATTTAATTTCTCACACCTGATCCAATTTACGTGTCCTTATTTAGTTATTTGTTTATTTCCCAAATAGGTTTGTTTGTTTGTTGTGATACGATCTGCAAAACAAGGTAATAGCAAATCCCCACTTTTCGTTTTTCGAACAGAAAAATAAATTTTTAAAGAAAATTAGGAGTTTTCCTTGCGTATACAAAGACCGATGCAGTTTAGAGCAAAACCGTTTTATTAAACTATATGTGTTTTCTCTTGCTTGATCTTTTGTCTTAGAGTTGTTTTAGAAGTTTTCTTAGTATTTTAAAGCCTAAATTGCCACTTTTCTTTAGCTCCAATTTTGGTCGAGGTGATCACCGAAAAGAGTTGGGATTTTAAAAAAATAAATTATTTGTTTTGCATAATGAACAAATGAATTGATTCTTTAAGTTCGATGAATATTGTATATTGCTTATCTAGTTTTTTTTTAACTAAATATTGTACATTGTGTACCAAGTTTTTATACTACTTACTATATATTGTACGTATATATATTTTTTTTTTGCAGTCATTTAGAAGCCAAAACTTTATATTTGTGTGATTTATGTGTGCTATGCGTACATATTTTTTATTTTTTTTATCTTAAGACATCAAGTTTTTTTTTTTATTTTATTTTTTGTGACATTAAAGATGAGTTTAATGAATTTAACCCCTGATAAGAAACGTAACATTCTCTTTAATATTAACCAACTGGTTACAATTCTATTAAGAGAGTTTGATGACAAATAGTGGCCCCTTATATCCAATATCTGGACCTAATTTAATTACAAAATCTATAACAATGTAAATTCTTAGAAAGTATATACCTGCCAGTTTACTAAATACAATGAATCGAGTAGTTGAAAGGAAGGAGTACCGATCGAAAAATGTAGGAAGACCAAGATTCACTTCAGTGATCAATGTTCTACCAAAATCAAAGTATATTACTTGGTTACTAAATAAGAAGTACGGGTTGAACGGTATTCAAACTCGGCCGATCATATGTATACTTTGGAGGATAGTAAAAGGCTGAAATATTCAAAAGCTGTTTGAGTTTTAGTTGAGCAAGAAGCTATGAAATCTATCCTTCTCCGGCAATAACTAGCACAATTAAAGAATATGGAAAAGAGAATTTAGATAGAGGTTGGACCCGTTGAGAAAATCTCTACCCGGGTATTATTAAATTACCCGGGTTATCCGGGTAAATTATGATATATCATATAGCACAATTTCTACCCGGGTCCAACACCTAAATTTAGGGCTTGGTGAAAGTGAGTTAAAAGTATAAGGAGGTGCCAATATTAAAAACAAAGTTTGAGAATCCCAGAATGCTCCCCTTATTAGCAATCTACAACTAAGATTGGGTGTTCAGGAAGTGGTTTCTTTTTTAAAAAACCATGAGTATTAGGTTGAACACTATAAAGTTTCTTACCAATGTGCCCAGGGTTTCATTTTTTTCTATAAAAATCAACTAGAGAAACTTCAATGTTTTGGCTAGCTAACCCTTGTCAATTCTATACACAAGATAAACAGGCACCTGTTTTTGTTATATATTTACGATAATCATGGCTGTTGGAATATTGGTGTACATTTTTACGTAAGCAAGAAAGATAGCAATACTGTAACTGAAGTATTAAAAATAATTAAAAAATTAGAATGTTGTTGGGCTTCTCAGTATTTTCTTATTGATCAGAGTCACGTGGAAGCTAATGCAATTGAGTTAGCTTTTCCGGGTCTTCAAGCAGGTGAGCAGAAGTGTAACATTATCTTTTGCACCATTCATATTATGCAGACCTGGAAAGTAAGGTGTATGATATAAAAACCAAAAATGAAATGGTTAGGGCAATACACAAACAGACAAAAATCGGTTGTGATGAGGTTATCAAACAGGCGGTTAACAATTGTCCTATTCCCACAATTCAAAAATACATAAGTTGAAATTATACTAAAAATATCTACCAATGAGCCCTTTGGGCCCACCAGCACTTCCTGCTCCTTTTGCAAGTAATATCCACCAACTCCCTGGAATTGTATCATAGTAAGCTAAAATGAATAACCTCTTCCCATCATGGTTTAATTGGTGCCTGCCATAACATAGTATTACTTGATACAAAAAAATAGTCAGATGCTAAATATGTGGCCTTTGAATTCCATACAAAAAAAATATCAATATTTGGTGTTTGTTATGAGATTCTTAATGAAATCCATAAATTTTCTTACCTTGTTCAAAAGATGGTCATTAATAAAGCTTTGGCTATTGAAAAAAGACTAGAGAAAGGTAAAGAACCTTCAGGTTTAATATTGTTAGAATGTCAGTGCCTGTTTTTTCGTTGCTATTTACTGCTCTGTTTCATGACCATATTTATAGTATGAATATACTATTAACTGCTGATTCTTAGAGAAAAATTCAGCAAATGTTTGAAGATAATAGGTTCGAAATATATGAGTGCTGAGAATTGGTTGAAATAGAGATAGTAGCAAAATCAGAAGCTAAAAGGGCTGCAGAAAATAGGCGTATGATTGTGAATGAATTAATGGAACGAGTGTGTAACACATATTGGTAGGTTGAAGAAAAAGAGAATGCTAAGCAAACAAATTCATTTATTAGAGAATTGAATTTGCATATAGGGTCTGTTTTAACAAACAATTGAAGGTAAATATTTGACATAATATTTAATTATAAAATTTACAATTAACTAACAACTATATTATATTTTTAAAGCTAAATCATCTGATATTTTTACAATACAACAGAATATCAAAGGATAAAGTGCAGGTTATATTTTAGTTATACAATATACATATGGTTTTTTTTTTTTATACAAGAGCCTTTACATATTTCAAAAATAAAATAGGAATTTACATAGTGGAAATACAGTCAACCCTCCCCAAACCGATCCTGTCAAAACCGATAACCTGCTATAATTGGTTAAAAATTGATCCACCATGTCTGTTCCATAATTAATACCCGATAACCTGCAATTTCTGATATCCGATAGTCTTAATATCCAAGTTCCCGATTAGCTAAAATAGTGTCACATGAAATTATCACATAAAATCCACCGTCTTTCATGTGACTTAATGTTAATTTCGACATATAAAAAACCTCTCAATTTAGGTTACATATAAAGCAAATTTTTTATTTTCCTTGTATTGTACCCGGATCTGTTAGAAGTCTTAAAATTGTGGAATGTCATCAAAATCGTTTGCACCTTTTCGAGAATTGTTTCTTCATAACATTATTTGCTCATTTACCAGCGATCAAAGTAACTAGTGTCATAAACCTATTGATCAATACTCTGACTTACACGATGTTCGTCAATTAGAATTTTATACAACTACCAAATATATATAAAGAGCTTACTACAGACAAATTGAGGAACCGAAATAATTGTTAACATTCTTTGTATATCTACATGATAACAATCTTTTGAAGTTACAATTTATTAAGAAAATTACAAGCATTAAAAGTTATATATCTTGAAAAATCAATGATTAACACTATTAAAATTTTAAAATTTTGATGATAATGTTAATACTTAATAATAAATTAAATTAACTATTGTAAACTTGCTAACTTTTTTTTTTTTTCTCTTTGAACCAAGGTGGAAATTGTCCACTCCAATTCATATTCATCTCTTTTTTGAGTTTAACATTGGATCGGTGCCACTTGCTTTGTAAATGCTGATTCCAATTGGAAAGTCCGTTAATCACTACTGGTGAATTGTCATTAAAAATTTTGCAAATATCACACTGGTACTTTGTCCAAGCTTTTAAGTTGTCAAAGGTGCTGTAATAAGAATTATTTTAATAAAATAAAATTTAATACAAAGGACCACTTTAAAAATAAATTAATCTTATTTGATAAATACTTTGTATCTATTGCTGGATCCAAAAGTTCTTTTGCTTCCGGGCTTAAAGATTTTGGATCTGGTCCAGTTCCCTTATCCAAAAATTCTATAATAAAGAAAATTACGCGCTTTATCCGATGTATATATATATATATATATATATATAAAAAAAAAGGACGAATACCCTTAACAATAGTAATTGCCACATCACGAACATCTTGATTCCATTTTTCAAGAGCTTTTCATTCCAAATGAGTCAATAAGCCGGTTAAAGAATATTCTTAATAAAGGCGCACCATAGGAACATAGGGGATTGAAAAGTTGGACGAAACGAAAAAGGATACATGTAGTGTTCAGCAAATACACTCTAACTTTACTTATACAATCTGTATCTGCATCATTCAAATTGCTTTCTTGACATTTAAGTAACAATTTATTTCGAATCCATCTAATTTGCTTCCTGGAGTATCTACGTGTTGCTGATTTCATAGCTTCAATATTAGACTCTTTTATAGCATCTAATTATATAAATCAACATAAATAACTAAAATTCAATGATTATTTAATATAGAACCATCACTATTTACAAACCGATGACTTTATCGTCTAAATACGGTGTTTCTTCCAAAGCATTTAAATAAGCTTCAAATTCTTTATATCCTACCCAAACAAACCAAAAATTTGAATCATCATTGTTACACAAGGCATAACATAACATCTTTAGCTTAATAACATTTTCTACCTATGACCTGAAAAATTCCACGTGTATAGTCTATGCTTGTGCCGGATGAAATATCGTTTTTCACCTTATTCCTGAGGTATTTTAGTTCTTCAAATAGGCCCATCTGAGATAACACCAATAAAGGTAGAAATGAATTGTTAACATTTAGTTAAGTAAGGATTGGAATCGGTTTAGTTCGGTTAAATTATTCAACTAAATATATCGACTAAGTAGTTAATTAGATTAATTTTTTTAGTCGACTATACTGATTCCAATCCCTATAGTCAAGTGAAACGATATTTGAAAATTTTACAAACTAACATTTACCTTGATCATCTTATCTACTCTGTTGTCGAGTCTTTGGTCTAAGACCTTAGGATCGGCATATAACCAAAAAATACACGTCAGAGGAAACCTATAATAAAAGGTTAAAGGTATTAGATCCGTTATCGATGATGATTCAAATTGTTTTGGTAATTAACTTCAACTTATTTTAACCTCAATGACGAAGCTTTTTCATCTGGTTGATGTTGTTCTTTAATCCAGTCACTATGACGTTTTCCTGTTTGCAAATATATCTGGTTTTAAAAAATGAATATTTAGAATATCATTGAATAAGATGTTATAATAAAAAATTTGCATCTTATACCTGTAAACTTCTTCTAATTTTTCTTCTATCATTCCAGTGCCATTTATTAGCCATTACAGGGTCAACTTCTTGTAAGCGTTTATATAGAATATCTGTCTCTGCATTCAAGATTCCATCATCTTCCGAACCATTATCACATTCATCATCGTAACTCTTAATAAGTGAATTTTTCCAAAGTAAGGATTGTATGTAATAATGGGTTCCACCAACAATAATCGGAACACGATCACGACTATGAACCTCTTTAATCTTAATTTATACGAGACATAAAATTATGAAATTTATAACATTAACAATCAAGTGCCTTTTAATAATAAGAATAATTTCATACAATTTTTATGGCATCGCAAGTAAACTCGGTAACGCGATATTCTTGATGCGGCTCTAGAAAGTCCATTAAATGATGTGGAATTCCTTCGCGCTCTTCCACAGGCATTTTATTTGTAATTACATCCAATCCTTTGTAAACCTAGATTATGTAAACGTGATAAATAATTGCTCTAGAATTAAAATTTTTAAAAACAAAAACATGAATAGGTCTTCGGATTAGGACGGATCAGGAAATCTTTTAGCAAACCAGAGTGATCATACTACTTTTTTTTTATCATGTGTTTATAGGTGTCCATTATAAAAAAAATTCACGAGTCTCAAGAGTAATATTTGATGTCATACTTTAAAAAAAGTCCCTTAAACCCTATTTGTCGTTTTAATACCTGCATGGAGTCTCCGTTGATTACTTCTCCGTGTAAAGCTTTTGCCAATTGAACCCCAAGTTCAGATTTACCAACACCTGTGGTACCCACGATTGCAACCACTCCCCTAGGCATTTTCTTGGTAATACGCAAATAAGTTTGCTGCAAAGTTGCAAGTAATTTGAAACGAGAAAGAAAAGAATTCATAAAATTTGTATTTTTGATAATCAGATAATCAGAATAACTAATCAATCATATATTGGTACCTGATTGGTTATCCTGTATCCGAGAAACCTCTTTTAATTTGCCATATCAAATCCTTTTTATTAATCAATAATATCTAAATAATGTACAATCCCAACATTTCGAACACCTCGAGTCAATCTCAAGATACCAAGGTTAGTGTCTCCTATTATGCTTTCTCTGCACATCGAAGTTACGAACTTTTATTATGAAAGTGTTTTCTTGAATGAATCTTTGTTCATAATAAAGTCATATATTACCATTAGCCTCTCTTTTTCTTTATATCATCCTTTCATTTCCTCTCTTCATCTACGTGGAAATACTACCGTGTCCCACCTAACAGGATTTCTTGACTAGCGAAAAACAACCTGAAGAAAATGATGAGCCCTTAGAAGAGCAAGTTTTTCTTCTCCCTCGCGGTCATGTTCCGCAAGCATACCTTGATTCGTCAAACACTGACATGGCTAGCATGGATATACATCTTCCAGAGAGCAATGTGGGTTACAAACTATTAACAAAAATGGGTTGGAAGGCCGGTCAGGGACTTGGAAGCTTACAACAAGGTTACTACTAATAGATTTACCAGATTCTAGAATTTTTGTTAATATTTTATGTTAGATCTGACAATTTATTAATAATTATAGGGAGAAAAGAACCAATTCGTATAGATACAAAATCTGATTGTTTGGGTGTTGGAAAACTTGAGGAAGAAAACTTTTATCATGTAGTTAGTACTGCAAAACGCAAAGCATTAGATAGTGAGAAAATCGCAGAAGAAACAGAAGAAGAGCGTCAACGAAGAGAGGTTAATTTTAATTAAAAATAAGATTTATTTTTATTAAAATTTATTTTATTAAATTTAGTCTAATATATAATTTAATATAGAACAAAGTACAAAAACAAGAATCCATTAAAAAAGAATTGGAAATTATCAATTCAGCTTTTTATTGCGCACTTTGTGACAAGCAATATACGAAGATAACGGAATATGAAACACATTTGAGCTCATATGATCATAACCATCGCAAGGTATAGTCACAAATTTCAATCTATATTACTCACGACAAATTACCTTATTAATCGTTTTTATTTATAGCGATTCAAAGAAATGAAAGAGACTATTAATCGTCCAGTTGCAAAGTTGGATAAAAAACGCGAGAAGGAGAGAAAGAGAGAAGAAAAAGAAATGGCGCGGTTACAACAAGCTGCGCTTCAGAAAGTTGGCAATAAATCATCATTTGCCAAGGGGTCTGTTGATGATGACATATCTTGCTCTGAAACAATTAAAAGCACAAGCACTGTGAATTCTAAGACAAATGGCGGATGGGTTTCATCGGTTGAAGCATCAGTTTCAACATCTACCGACTGCATTCAAAATGGTCCAAGCTTCGTCCGTGCAACAAGTAACACGAGCGGATGGACTTCCTCGACATCTGAAACATCCGGATGGAATACGTTATCATCATCTGGATCCACAAAGCCTAATGTAGGTGGATGGACTTTGGCCGTAACATCTATAGACACTCAATCATTTCCAGAAAGAAGTGAAAATGTTGATATTGTAATTGACAACAAAACTTCCACTGAAAATAACTCATCTAAATCAAAATTCACATTTGGTATTGGTAAACCTGCTTTGGAGCAATCAGAGGTGTGTGATTCTTTGCTTTCAAATGTATAATTTTTTTTGTGATGTAAGCTTATTAAATTCCCTTTATTCCTCGTAAGGTTCAGAAATCGACATTTAAATTTGGGTTTAAGAAGAAATAATTATCTTATTTATTGAATTTATTGAAGCATACTTTAATTATTTTAATTCATATTTAGAATTTGATTTATTTGTGTATCAAGAAATTAACAAGTAAAAGAAATTCAAACTATGCTTATCTTTAATGATTTATTTATTTTTATAATTATGATAAATAATTCTTTGTTTCTTTTATATTTATTTAACATAGTTCTCTTAAATATTGTTAAATTGAGAACATTCGATATTTTGTTTGAATTCCAATATACTGTAAAAAAATTATTTGGTAAGCCCGATTGATAAATAGCTATAAAGTAATTATATAGTTACTTTGTAATAGCTATAATTTTAAAGTTACTATTTGTTAGCAATGTGCCTACTATTATTTTACTACAATATAATTAACTTTTTTTAAATATATTTTTTAAATATAATTTTTTTTTAAATACAACTTTAACATTTAGTTTAAATGTGTTTAATTTTTTAAAGGCAATTGCTAATTTTAACCGGAGGGAAATCACCGGGGATGCTATATCTCAAAAACGTACTAAGTAAACGGGATCGGGTACTCTAAGTAAAAATGTTCAGGACCTCTGAAAACCTCACAAAAACTGAGATTGGGACCTTATATTAGTTCTACATTATATTCAGGGTTGTCACGTTACTATGTTTATTCTATTGGCCTCTCATTCTATTCACTTTTTTCATTTTTCTATTGTAAATATTCAGTATTAAATTTTATTAATTAAATATAAAAACATTTTAAATTTATAATTTTACTAATAGTCTAACAATATATATTTAAATAATTGCAAATTATTAATAAAAAATTTTTTTTTATATAAAGACAAAAAATCAGGCTTTTATTCTATTATTCTATTTACCTTCACTGATTATATTATATAAAAAAAAATAATAATTCTCAATAACCGCACTCTAACCCTATAAATAATTAGGGGAGGGGATTCCCCCCCGGTTAAATGTAGTTATTTTCTTTTTTAAATACAAATTTTTAATTGTTTTTGAAATATATCAAAAGAATATATAATTTGTTTAATATCAAATAAATTATTTTTATAAAAATTATATAATAAATATATAGTTATTATATAGTATTAAGTTAAAAAATTATTATAGTGAAACCTCTCTAAGTGCACATACTTTGGGCCAGAATTAAACATGCACTTAGAGAACAATAAGAAAAAGTGCATTTATGAAGGTCATGTATATATTTGGGCCAGAATCTGTATGTGTATTTAAAGAGGTTTCATTGTATAAACAAAAAAATTGTTATATGATACATTATACATTTGGTACACCTCTTTATATCAAAATTTTACTAGAGTAACTTCTGTTATACTACTAACAAAAAATGTTTCTTACACAATTTTACTTTAAACTCTTCTTTAACTCTAACTCTAATCTTTATTAATACTTTAATATTGTGCTTATTGGCAATTAAAGAGGTACTAAATATATAGAGACACTATATAGTATATATTTTTTCTCTAAAAAATAATATTAAATAAAATATTTTTTGATTAGTTAATATTATAATATTAACTGCTTTTACAAAAATACTGTAATATTAATATACTGTATATGTTGTGTGTCAAATTAGAATGGGTATGAGTTTAGAACTAAGTTGTGTTAGATTGAAATTCAAGTTTGAGATGCATGAAATTAAAATTTTTAATTTGTGTTAAATTAAAATAATTCATATATAACAATAACAATAAAGCAAAAAATAACAAATAATTATACAATTAATTCAATACATATGTTAGGCTTGAATTTTGTTATTATATGTATTTTTACCATAATATTTACTTCTACACCTAATATTAGATTTTTTGCAATAATATTTGTTAGTATTACAGCTATTTTTGCATTTGCATATCGTTCTTGTAAGCATGCCAGTACTTTGGCTTTATGCTGCTTCTTTAACAGATATATAATCTGATGAAATATGATCCAAATCTGAATATTCTTGTATACTTAATAGTTCTATCTCACCTGTGCAATACAAGTTATTCAAAATACTATCTTTGTACCCAAGATGATATTTAAATATATCATTATAGCTTAGTTTTTCTAAAACCTTGCATGAAAGTATTGGTTGATCAATATCAAATCAATTAATTTTAGAGACTATTATTTTTACATATTTTCTAATTTTATATTCTAATTTATGTTTTGATCTTGCAACTATTGTAGCTATCATTTTGGCTATATAACTTTCTAAATTTTGACAAGCAAAATCCTGTAATACTTGGTGTCCTGTTTGCGGCTAATTTGATATATCTTGTAAAGATAATGACTATAAAAAAAATTTTTTTATAGATTAAATTAATATAATACTTATTTATACATAAACAAATAATGATAACTTACTGTTAGGGCAGTGTCATTTATCACCTGATTTTTTTTTATCAGAGGCATACCCCCCCTCCCCCTTCTTATTATATATTTAATCAGGTCTTTATATATAATTTTAACTTTTTTACCCCCCCCTAAAAAATCACCTGATTTTTGTTACTTCCCTTACTGTTTCTTAGTTTTCATTATTTAGACTTAAATCTTGATTTAAACTTGTGGAACTACTTGCAAACTCAATTTTTATTAAAGGTACACTATTGGTATTATCAATTAAATCATCTAAATCATTAATTGACTCTTGAATATTTTCTAACCCAAATTCATTTGGGATTTTATCTTCTAAGAATATACTTGTTTCAAACAAGTAATCAAGCACTACAGAATATCCATGTAGTAATCCATCAAATACAAGCTTATAAAGTTTTTTATTATATGTTCTACAAATTAAGTTGTTTATTATATAAATTATAAATCTCAATCTGAATGACTAATCCTAACAATTATTATTCTCCATCCACTTTCTTAACTTTATTTTAAGAATTCCATTTGCTCTTTCTACAAGGCCTTGACTTGCAGAATATCTAGGTTTGCTATTAATAATTTGAATTGTAAACTATAAATGAACTAATTCAACAATCACTAAAGAAACAAATTCTTTTTTATTATTAGATTAAAGAATTAGTAATGGTCTGAATGTAGTAAAAATGTTGAAAAGGAAAGCTGCTACTTCTATTGCTTGCTTTGAAATAAGTACATAACTTTATAAATATCATGTGAAATGATCATGTATATAAGCAATATATTTAAATTAATCATCATATTTAAAGGTTATATCAATTAAGTCAATCTATTTTGAATATGTAATAATAATTATAAATATTTAACGATTAATAATAAAAATTGTAACATTTAATAATAACAAATTTGCTTGTAACTGTAATATAAATTTTTGTTCAATAATTAGAATTCTAGCTAATGGTCAAACTTGTATTAGACTAGTTGCACAAATATTGCATTGTGTCACAAATTTTTCTACAAGTTCTTGCTGACAATATTTATATTTATTGCTAATTTGATTCCAGGTTTCTTTTTGGCTAGCATGCTAAGTAACTGTGGTATGTATTTTATAAAATTCATCATATATGCTTTCTACAACTAATACAGAAAGTTTAATTATAATTTTTTCATTATTTTTTTTATTTTATATTCAAATATGAAGTACAATATATAAATCACCAATTTGTTGTAATTTAAATTTATTCTTAGCCTAGTAATGAAAAGTAGAAGTATATAATGTAGTATCAAGAAGGTTAAGAAGAATATCTTTAATTTTTTGCAGTTTTTTTTGATTGATTGGTGCTTTTTCTTTTTTACTTGGTGCCAAACTTTCAATATATCGGTTAACCAAGTTATCAAAAGTTTGCTATAAAATAAATGAATACTCTATAATTTTTAGTTTGATACAAAAACGTATTTATTGCAAGAAAAAAAAATTAAAACAAAACAATTTTATTATTATATCATTATTATGTTCATTATATGTATTTTGGTTTGATGCATAAATAATGAACTGATCTAATGCATCTCAGATTTTAATTTTAATCTGATTCAACTCAATTTTAAATCTATGCTTCTTCGAATCTGATACACAACATATATATATATATATTTATAAAGGCATGTTGGTATCTTCTAGCTATCTAAATCTAGATTAGTTACAAAATTAATTTAGATTACTATGTATTGTAGAAAAGTAAGAGATGTAATGTCATACCAATTTTCTGTAGTAATTTAGCAACTACAGTCAGACCTCGATATAATCACCAGGTTGGGAAACAAAATTTTGATGATTATAAAAAGTTGTGACTATATAAAG